ATTTAAAATGTCCAAAAACTATGTAGCCAAGAAATGTGGGAGTTAATAATTATTTAAATTGCAATCTTAATCCTTATCACTACCACAGTGTACATTGTCTTGTCAGCCACCCTGTACCACTCTGTCACTTTCATTAATTACTGTATGTGACATTTATACCCTTATTTGGTCATCCCCCTTTGGCCGTGTCTGCCATCACATCAACTGGTTCAAGGAATTGCTATTGTTTCTCTGTCTGTCCATTGTTGAGTCTTCGCCTGTCCATTGTTGTCAAAAACTGTATATATTTGTTCATATCTATATTGTCAAGCAGTCCGGTATTCCGACTGTCTGTGTAGGGCCGACCGCGAGCAGGATAATGCTGGAAACGGCCTGGGGTTGAGCTGGAACTCCGCTCACCTCATTCTTGTATACTTGTTATCCCCCGCAACGCATTTTGCGAGGGGGTATTAAAATGGACTCCGTCCGTGCGTCCGTCCGTCCATGCACATTTGTCTCTTCCAGAGCAGAACTCTGGAATTCTGAATAAAATATTTTTGGCATTTACATGGCAACAAGTTCGACTTAGACTGAAATTAGTGGTAGTGCTCCTTTCTGGAGCAGAACTTTAAAACCTTTCAATACTCTCCTTCCACTTTTCTATATACACACCTAAGTATTTGACATAATCATAACTCGTAGACATAATCATGAAGAGTATTTTGGATATGGCCCAAATGGGATATTGATAACTTTGTCTTCTTGTTTGTCATGTCTTGTGTAAGTAACTAAAGAAGTTTGAACTCAACTATGCCTTTGTTTTCGTCAACGCACACTTCCTCTTAATTTTGAGATAGTTCCCCATTCGACCGTATCTACGCGTTGACAGCTGCATGGGTTTCATGATGAAAGTGGGATATCCTTATGGTCGATATTTGACTATTTGACTGACGTCCCCAAATCCACAGAAATCTAAGGATTGCTTAAGGATGCAGCCGTCCATGAAACTAGCTACAGTTTGTTTATGGAAGCTAATGCTATCAAACGGGTACACTTGAAATTTATGAAACATGTACTATGTGTCAAAATGTTAACACCATCAACTTTCATATATGGAGAATTGGGTACATTCCCTTTGAAAGTTATTCGTCTTGTCAGCATTATCAAATATTGGCGTATTTTGAGAAGTAAACCAGATAGATATATAGTTTTGATATATAATTCATTATTGAATAGTTCAAATGAGAATCCTGATGTTGAAAATTGGGCAAGTTTATTGAGAGATATGTTCTGGTCTAGAGCTTCACCTGGACAAGTCACTTGTTGTTCTGGTCTAGAGCTTCACCTGGACAAGTCACTTGTTGTTCTGGTCTAGAGCTTCACCTGGACAAGTCACTTGTTGTTCTGGTCTAGAGCTTCACCTGGACAAGTCACTTGTTGTTCTGGTCTAGAGCTTCACCTGGACAAGTCACCTGTTGTTCTGGTCTAGAGCTTCACCTGGACAAGTCACTTGTTGTTCTGGTCTAGAGCTTCACCTGGACAAGTCACTTGTTGTTCTGGTCTAGAGCTTCACCTGGACAAGTCACCTGTTGTTCTGGTCTAGAGCTTCACCTGGACAAGTCACTTGTTGTTCTGGTCTAGAGCTTCACCTGGACAAGTCACCTGTTGTTCTGGTCTAGAGCTTCACCTGGACAAGTCACTTGTTGTTCTGGTCTAGAGCTTCACCTGGACAAGTCACTTGTTGTTCTGGTCCTAGAGCTTCACTAGTCACCTGTTGTTCTGGTCTAGAGCTTCACCTGGACAAGTCACTTGTTGTTCTGGTCTAGAGCTTCACCTGGACAAGTCACTTGTTGTTCTGGTCTAGAGTTTCACCTGGACAAGTAACTTGTTGTTCTGGTCTAGAGCTTCACCTGGACAAGTCACTTGTTGTTCTGGTCTAGAGCTTCACCTGGACAAGTCACTTGTTGTTCTGGTCTAGAGCTTCACCTGGACAAGTCACTTGTTGTTCTGGTCTAGAGCTTCACCTGGACAAGTCACTTGTTGTTCTGGTCTAGAGCTTCACCTGGACAAGTCACTTGTTGTTCTGGTCTAGAGCTTCACCTGGACAAGTCACCTGTTGTTCTGGTCTAGAGCTTCACCTGGACAAGTCACCTGTAGTTCTGGTCTAGAGCTTCACCTGGACAAGTCACCTGTTGTTCTGGTCTAGAGCTTCACCTGGACAAGTCACCTGTAGTTAAATTTAAAAATGTTGGTGTTGTTGCTCAAAATGAAAATTGGTCGTTTGAAAACGTAAATATGAGAGGTGTTGCCTACGAAGGCCGAGAAAGCTCTACTTCCAATCTGTAAAGTGAGTGAGGAAAGCAAGTATGCTTCATTTTCCACTGCCAGTATTTATTTCAAGAAAACAATGTACCTAGTTCTTGTGTGTAGTGCAGGCTTTATTTTGAAGAAATTTAAAGTTTCATGCATCCTATTTTAAAAGATTTCTAAGCGTTGGTATGCTTGATTCAAATAGAGCTATTCAAGGAGGGATTGGACGCTATACTATGTTTATACTGATACAGATGAAAGGAAAGACATATTGGATTTAACATATGTGTGTGACACTTTCTCATTGCCATTGCTAGAGCTACTGGTTGTCCATGACTGTACCTGATACTGGCAAACATACATGGTCTGGTGGCAGACAGTGACTGTACCTGATACTGGCAAACATACATGGTCTGGTGGCAGACAGTGACTGTACCTGATACTGGCAAACATACATGATCTGGTGGCAGACAGTTATTGTTTTCTTCTGGGATTTCACGTCAGGATTGCCCGACACATTAGTGACAAGTTGTCATGTTTGTGTCTTTAAACAGAGACTTTCATTTTCTTTCACATGCCACGTTTCAAACTGAAGAAAGAAATATTTGCCACATATAAAAGATTCTCAGATCACCACGTAATGGACAAATAACTGGGTTGAAGTTAGTTAAGGTGTGATGGAGTTGCCATGTTGTGGAGCTGGGTACGATTACCAATATGGGTGCAGCGTGTGAAGTGAAATCCGTTACTGGTATCACCCTCCATGATATTGCTGGAAGATTGCTTAACCTCACTCACTCACTCACTCAAACTCTCACTCAAACACTCACTCACTCACTCAAACACTCACTCACTCACACTCTCACTCATTCACTCCACTCAAACACTCACTCAAAACTTAAAGCTCTCAAACACTCACTCACTCACTCACGCTCTCAAACACTCACTCACACTCTCACTCACTCAAAAACGCACTTAAATTCTCAAACACTCACTCACTCACCCGTGCACTCACTCAAACTCTCAAACACTCACACTCACACTCTCACTCACTCACGCACTCACTGAAACACGCACTTAAATTCTCAAACACTCACTCACTCACCCGTGCACTCTCTCAAACACTCACACTCACACTCTCACTCACTCACGCACTCACTCACTGAAACACGCACTTAAATTCTCAAACACCAACACTCTCACTCACTCACTCACTCACTCAAACTCTCAAACACTCACGCACTCACTCAAACTCTCAAGCACTCACACTCTCACTCACTCACTCAAACACTCACTCACTCACTCAAACACTCACTCACTCTTGAAGTGATACAAGTATGTTAATGATATCTTCCTTACAACTAATCATAGGTAGGCGAGTCTTTCTTGATAATTTCATAGAATAGATTTTTGAAAGTACATTTGTGCTACTTTCCTTGTCACAACTTGTTATGTCTAGGTAAATCTTACTTGATAGTCTTTTTTCATTGTTAAATGAATAGGTATTCCTATGTTAAGTGATATGTTCCTAACAACTGATTAACTCTTGACAAATCTTTATTATACATCTGCATGACTCGAGTTAATACATGTGGTGATAAATTCCTGACAAGTTGTAGTGACTGTATATATCCGTTTCAGTTTTTAATGCAGCAATTGCTTGGAGTCTCAGATAAAAATATACTTATCATCTCAGGGGCCCTGACTTGACAAGATATTTGTTTATCGAACTTGATAGTGTTTATCAAGCAGGAAGCATTTTCCCAAAGTGTTGATAACTGTGAGACTTTATTGAGGTCAGGTGCCAGGAAAATGGTATGTACATCAGCTTAAAGAGGCTACTTGCCTCACAACTATGAATACTGCCTCTCCTTGTGATGAATCTCATGATGTTGTCAGGGTAGATATTCCGTATACCCCAAGTGATGATGTTGTCGGGGTAAACGTTCCATATACCCCTAGTGATGATGTTGTCAGGGTAGACGTTCCGTATACCCCCAGTGATGATGTTGTCAGGGTAGATGTTCCGTATACCCCCAGTGATGATGTTGTCAGGGTAGACGTTCTGTATACCCCCAGTGATGATGTCAGGGTAGATGTTCCGTATACTGCCGGTGATGATGTTGTCTGGGTAGACATTCCGTATACCCCCAATGATGATGTTGTCAGGGTAGACATTCCGTATACCCCGAGTGATGATGTTGTCAGGGTAGATGTTCCGTATACCCCTAGTGATGATGTTGTCGGCTTAGAGTTCCGTGTACCCCCATTGATGATGTTGTCGGCTTAGAGTTCCGTGTACCCCCATTGATGATGTTGTCGAGGTAGACGTTCCGTGTACCCCCATTGATGATGTTGTCGAGGTAGACGTTCCGTATACCACCATTGATGATGTTGTTGAGGTAGATGTTCCGTATGCATATTGCCATGTGTTATATCAGCAGATTGCCTTGTGTTCTATCAGCAGATTGTCATGTGTTCTATCAGCAGATTGCCGTGTGTTCTAGCAGCATGTTGTCATGTGTTCCAACTACCAATTGCCATGTGTAATGTGTTCTACCAGCAGATTGTCATGTGTTCCAACTACCAATTGCCATGTGTCATGTGTTCTAGCAGCAGATACAGTCATGTGTTCCAGCTACAGATTCATTCAAAAAAGAAAGAAAGAAAACTAGATAAAGATTGTCATGTGTGATGTGTTGTGGTTCCAGGGTCCTGTACAGACCAAGTTTGAGAGGATCCAGGCCGGGAGCCTGCCGCCCAAGTTTGGAGATATCTCTTGTGAGGCCACACCAGAAGACAAGTTTGTGAGTTGACTTGCTGTGCTTCATTCCTCCCATACCTCAACATAAACATGATTGTGATGTCTTTAGTTATATGCCATCAGCTAGCCTGTCTCACAGTCCCTGAACCATCAGCTAGCCTGTCTCACCGTCCCTGAACCATCAGCTAGCCTGTCTCACAGTCCCTGAACCATATTATTTCCTTGCACCTTGCCCTCCCTGTAATGCTAATGTCCTAAATGATAAGTCTAGATTTCCCCAGGTTCTGAATCTCTGGTCTCCCTGGGGCTCCTTTTCAATTTAAATGGTTTTATTTGTTAGAATGAGAATTCAGTATAGCCAGAGACTAAGCGTTAGTCTAGTCATCAGCCTGTGTCACACCTTCTGATCATGATGAAGTGCCAGTTTGATGGATAGCATGAAGTCTGAGTGATCTGTATCCATCTGTATTGATGGATAGCATGAAGTCTGAGTGATCTGTATCCATCTGTATTGATGGATAGCATGAAGTCTGAGTGATCTGTATCCATCTGTATTGATGGATAGCATGAAGTCTGAGTGATCTGTATCCATCTGTATTGATGGATAGCATGAAGTGTATCCATCTGGATAGCATGAGGATGTATTGATGATTAAAGCATGAAGTCTGAGTGATCTATCCATCTGTATTGATGGATAGCATGAAGTCTGAGGATCTGTATCCATCTGTATTGATGGATAGCATGAAGTGTATCCATCTGTATTGATGGATAGCATGAAGTCTGAGTGATCTGTATCCATCTGTATTGATGGATAGCATGAAGTCTGAGTGATCTGTATCCATCTGTATTGATGGATAGCATGAAGTCTGAGGATCTGTATCCATCTGTATTGATGGATAGCATGAAGTTCGAGGATCTGTATCCATCTGTATTGATGGATAGCAGCATGAAGTGATGTATCCATCTGTATTGATCTAGCATGAATCTGAGTGATCTGTATCCATCTGTATTGATGGATAGCATGAAGTCTGAGTGATCTGCATCCATCTGTATTGATGGATAGCATGAAGTCTGAGTGATCTGTATCCATCTGTATTGATGGATAGCATGAAGTCTGAGTGATCTGTATCCATCTGTATTGATGGATAGCATGAAGTCTGAGTGATCTGTATCCATCTGTATTGATGGATAGCATGAAGTCTGAGTGATCTGTATCCATCTGGATTGATGGATAGCATGAAGTCTGAGTGATCTGTATCCATCTGTATTGATGGATAGCATGAAGTCTGAGATCTGTATTGATCCATCTGATTGATGGATAGCATGAAGTCTGAGTGATCTGCATCCATCTGTATTGATGGATAGCATGAAGTCTGAGTGATCTGTATCCATCTGTATTGATGGATAGCATGAAGTCTGAGTGATCTGTATCCATCTGTATTGATGGATAGCATGAAGTCTGAGGATCTGCATCCTGTATTGATGTATTGATGGATAGCATGAAGTCTAGATGAAGATCTGTATCCATCTGTATTGATGGATAGCATGAAGATTCTGAGTGATCTGTATCCATCTGTATTGATGGATAGCATGAAGTCTGAGTGATCTGTATCCATCTGTATTGATGGATAGCATGAAGTCTGAGTGATCTGCATCCATCTGTATTGATGGATAGCATGAAGTCTGCGTGATCTGTATCCATCTGTATTGATGGATAGCATGAAGTCTGAGTGATCTGTATCCATCTGGATTGATGGATAGCATGAATTTTAAGTGATCTGCATCCATCTGGATTGATGGATAGGATGAAGTCTGAGTGATCTGCATCCATCTGGATTGATGGATAGGATGAAGTCTGAGTGATCTGTATCCATCTGTATTGATGGATAGCATGAAGTCTGAGTGATCTGTATCCATCTGGATTGATGGATAGCATGAAGTCTGAGTGATCTGTATCCATCTGTATTGATGGATAGCATGAAGTCTGAGTGATCTGCATCCATCTGTATTGATGGATAGCATGAAGTCTGAGTGATCTGTATCCATCTGGATTGATGGATAGCATGAAGTCTAAGTGATCTGTATCCATCTGGATTGATGGATAGGATGAAGTCTGAGTGATCTGCATCCATCTGGATTGATGGATAGGATGAAGTCTGAGTGATCTGCATCCATCTGGATTGATGGATAGCATGAAGTCTGAGTGATCTGTATCCATCTGTATTGATGGATAGCATGAAGTCTGCGTGATCTGTATCCATCTGGATTGATGGATAGCATGAAGTCTGAGTGATCTGCATCCATCTGTATTGATGGATAGGATGAAGTCTGAGTGATCTGCATCCATCTGTATTGATGGATAGCATGAAGTCTGAGTGATCTGTATCCATCTGGATTGATGGATAGCATGAAGTCTCGTGATCTGCATCCATCTGTATTGATGGATATAGCATGAATCCAGTGATCTGTGATCCATCTGGATTGATGGATAGCATGAAGTCTGGCGTGATCTGTATCCATCTGGATTGATGGATAGCATGAAGTCTGAGTGATCTGCATCCATCTGTATTGATGGATAGCATGAAGTCTGAGTGATCTGTATCCATCTGTATTGATGGATAGGATGAAGTCTGAGTGATCTGTATCCATCTGTATTGATGGATAGCATGAAGTCTGAGTGATCTGTATCCATCTGGATTGATGGATAGCATGAATTTTAAGTGATCTGCATCCATCTGGATTGATGGATAGCATGAAGTCTGAGTGATCTGTATCCATCTGGATTGATGGATAGCATGAAGTCTGCGTGATCTGTATCCATCTGTATTGATGGATAGTATCAGTTTTATTTATCCATCTGGGAAAACACCAAACCCCAGCCAAGTCTGCTCCTACAGTGAGCTTAATCACCGAACATCCCCTCCTTCGACGACCTTGAAACACTCGCTGGTACCAGCATGATACATATTCCTGATGCCAGCATCACACCGAGTGCAGCGCCATGCACATTCTCCTACACACCTACAGTGCAGCAACTCCGCTCACACATTGCTATGTTTGCCATGTCTCATCTCCATGTCTCATCTCCATGTCTCATCTCCATCCTCTGTCTGTCAACATATGCTCAGTGTTTTCTCAACACCAGGGTCCAGACGAAGTGCCCATCTTCAACTGTGTTGAGCAGTTTGCAGGAAAATAGTTAACTTGGACAATCTGCACCTGGCATGTTGCCGCGGCAACCACCGTTCTGGCCAATAACTCCTCAAGGTCGAAACTATGAAGTGGCTCATGCAGTCTTCATTATGGAGAACTTGTACAAGATAAAACTTGTTACATAAAACATTCTCAGCTTTCTGGATTTGTACGCAGCTGACAAGTAGTTTGAAGGGGAAGCATTTGTTTAAAGAAATAGTACTGAGTGAACCCAAAGTCTTGAATGGGGTTTCCCAATGTGTCACCGCTGCAATTATTTAGTACTCTGTGATAAATGGGTAGCTCACTTAAAAAATTAATTGATGTAAAGTTTCTAAAGGTACTTCCATGAATGGAATTTACCTCGTGAAAGTGGTATATTTCAAGCATGAGGTAGTCTGATGAAAGGTTCCTGGCCCTCGTAAGTCTCTGTATCTTCAGTATCACTGAAACAAGGCTGACGTACTGCCACTCATATTCCTGATGTTTATGTGTGATGACACCATCACAACATTCATACAGAACATCCAGCAGAATGTACATACAGATCCTACATACAAAATGTACATACAAATGTACATACAAAATGTACAGATCCCACATACAAAATGTACGAAGATACAAAATGTACATACATACAAAATGTACATACATACATGTACATATAGATCCATGACATGTACATACAGATCCCCACATCCTACAAAATATACATACATACAAAATGTACATACATACAATATGTACATACAGATCCTACATATAAAATGTACATACACATCCCACATACATGTACATACAGATCCCACATACAAAATGTACGAAGATACAAAATGTACATACATACAAAATGTACATACATACAATATGTACATACAGATCCTACATACAAAATGTACATACACATCCCACATACATGTCCATACAGATCCCACATACAAAATGAACGAAGATACAAAATGTACATACATACAATATGTACATACAGATCCTACATACAAAATGTACGAAGATACAAAATGTACATACATACAAAATGTACATACATACAATATGTACATACAGATCCTACATATAAAATGTACATACACATCCCACATACATGTACATACAGATCCCACATACAAAATGTAGGAAGATACAAAATGTACATACATACAAAATGTACATACATACAATATGTACATACAGATCCTACATACAAAATGTACATACAGATCCCGCATACAAAATGTACATACATGCAAAAATGTATACAGATCCTACATACAAAATGTACATACAGATCCCACATACAAAATGTACATACAAATGTACATGCAAAATGTCCACACAGATCCCGCATACAAAATGTCCATACATATCCTAAATACAAAATGTACATACATACAAAATGTATACAGATCCCACATACAAAATGTATACAGATCCTACATACAAAATGTCCATACAGATCCCACATACAAATCTTCATACATACAAAATGTGCATACAGATCCTAAATACAAAATCTTCATACATACAATATGTACATACAATTCCTACATACAAAATGTACATACAAAATGTCCATACAAATGTACATGCAAAATGTCCACACAGATCCCGCATACAAAATGTCAATACATATCCTAAATACAAAATTACATACATACAAAATGTATACAGATCCAACATACAAAATGTATACAGATCGTACATACAAAATGTACATACAGATCCCACATACAAAATGTACATACAAATGTACATGCAAAATGTCCACACAGATCCCGCATACAAAATGTACATACAAATGTACATGTAAAATGTCCACACAGATCCCGCATACAAAATGTCCATACATATCCT